ACTACTACTACTACTACCACCACTACTGTTACTACTACTACTACTACTACTACTACTACTGTTAGTACTACTACTCCATTATCATCATTATTATTATTGTAGGAAAATTATAGAGGTTCAGTGAATTTGTGACTTAACTGTGGTCACATAGTTATGAGCCCATATATATTCCTGCCTCCAGATGCTCTACTGCGCTCTAAAGAAGTGGTTCAGTGAGACATTTTGTCAGGCAGTATGGAGTTAAAGTGATTTCATTTGTTTTATTTTGTTGTTTTCCAATATTTGATTGCATATCTCCCATTCTTGAAGGCTCCTCAGCTGCTGGGACAGACTGTTAGAGCTTGTGGGCATGCCAGTTAAAACTAATTGAACATCCATTATTCTGGAATGCCTGGGCAAACTGACAGCATCTCTGTAAAATGGAGATTGACATCCTTTGAGCACCTGATTTAGGATGCTTGTAACATTTCTAAATATTTAATGCATCTGGGTATTTTTTTCCAGCCTAGAGAGTGGAATAATGCTCCTGAAGCAGTATTCCTAAAATATCAGTCTATTGTTGGAAAAGACTTTGTGAAGAAGCCCAACACTCCAGAAAAGCTCCTTCTTTTGTTTTCTTTCCCACTGCCATTCCTCTTGTCCTAGTTCAGACCCTCATGATCTCACAGCTCCATCATTACAAATCTCCTCAACAGGTTTCCCAATCTTTCTATTCTTCAGAGAATCAAAGAATTGGGGAGCTGAAAGGGACCTTAGCGGCCTTCTAGCCCGATCCACAGAGAAGAGAATTCCTACTGTTTTTTGATTCTTTCTTCACTTCTCTTCATGTAAATAAATAAACTTTGAGAAGACTTGACAAGCCTCATAGAAATGTTTATTAATAGTCTCCAAAGAGAGCTTATTTAAGTATTGCTTAAGTAGAAAGCAGTAGTAGAGAGAACATTGGGATTGGAGTCACAAGTCCTAGGTTCAAGTTCTTGATCTTATACTGAGGTGGCTAAGTTATTTGACCTCTCTAAGCTTTGGATGGCAACAGTAATACTGTCACTACCAACCACTCAGTTGTCATGTCTCCCTGGTAAGACCGAGCTCCTTAAGGGTTTCTGGTGGTTGTTGTTGTTGAGTTGTTTCAATAGTGTTGGGCTCTTTGTGACCCCATTTGAAGTTTTCTTGGCAAAGAAACTGGAGTGGTTTGTCATTTCCTTCTCCAGATTATTTTATAGATGAGGAAACTGAAGCAAACAGCATTTAAGTGACTTGCACAGGTCACAAATTTAGTAAGTGTCTGGGGCCAGATTTGAACTCAGCTCTTCCTGACTCCAGACCCAGCATTCTATTCACTGCACTACTTTGAAAGTAAGGAACTATTTTTGCCTTGCTTTGTATCCCCAGTGCTTAGCAAAGTGCCTGGCTCATAATAAGCCTTTAATGAGTACTCAATCAATTGAGAAGGTAGACTTTAGTTCAAGATCTGCCACCGCCACCTTGGCTCTGTGTCTCTGGACAATTCACTTGACCCTCAGTGATAAATAAGCTGGGGGACAGTTGCTGATTTGCAACGGTGGATGTCTCTTCCTCCTCACCAGAAACCTCCTATACTTACTCACAGGTCTAGACAAAAATCAAGTTGCATATAAAATGTGTATGGTAGTTACTAACCCATTCCCTTCTAACCCACCACTCTCTTTGGGAAGACACTCTCAAAACCAGCGAGTATTTCTGGTCCTTACCCTAGGCCCTGTTTATAGGATCTCTATCTATCCCATCCAATTTGAGTCAATAAACACGTATTAAATACCTTCTATGTCTAAGGCCCTAGATATTCAAAGGTAAAAATAAAAAAGCCCCTGTTCTCAAAGTGCTTACATACTCTATTGGGGGAATACCGTATATATACAGATAAGTAATTTTGGGGGGTGTGGTGAGGTAATAGGGGTTAAGCAACTCACCCAGGGTCACACAGCTAGTAAGTATCAGGTGTCTGAGGCCAGATTTGAACTCAGGTTCTCCTGACTTTAGGGACGGTGCTCTATCTACTGTGCCATTTACCTGCCTCCAGATTAGTAATTTCAAAGAGGTCAGTACAAAGTAATCTTGGGAAGATGAATACTAACAATTGAGCAATCAGAAAGAACACTTGTAGGATGTGGTATCAGACCTCTATTTTGAGGAGTTGAGATTTTATTAGACATGGTTGAGGAAAGAAGTGCATTTTAATATAGGTGTCATCTGTGGCAGTTTTGACTAAAGGTAGAGTTTTATTAAGATTATTTGGTCTCTCCCATTGAAGTTTCTTGTATTTGTTCCATAATGAACAAATGTTATGTTATGCACGTGTTAATTGTCATTTTCATCAGATGGCTGTCTTGTTTAATTGCCTGCTGTTTGCTGATCCTGATTCTGGTCTTTTACTACCTGGGATTATTGTGTGGTGCCTGTGGTTATAACAAACACAAGACTCCAACCAACCGTGGCTGTGTGTCAAACACTGGAGGCAATTTTCTCATGGCGTGAGTACTTCCTTTCTTTGGAACACATTCGATGGAAATGTTCCAGAGCTCCAGGTTGGAGAATGGAGAGTGGGATGATCCCATGGATGGATCTTAACAATTTAAAGAAACCAAAGACCCAGCACTGTGGGTACTCTTAAGTTATGTGCAGCTTTTCATGTGTGATTTCTTTTGTTTAGGTACCTTGCCAATGGGTAAAAGTATAAGTGAGTATGTAAGCAAGTGATCTCCAAGTTGGGTGCATGTACCCTGTGGAGGAAAGGGTGATTGAGACGATTCTTTCAATTGTGGAAAGAAAATAGTAGAAATTCTATTTACATTTATTTTAGCTAAAATAAGGAAGATGTTAAACTTTAAATATTTGGTGTAGAAATTGAGGTACCCGCACTGGGTCTGTATGTCAGACAACCACATGTCACAGATAATCCTTAGAATATCCTAAAGGGATAGTGGGAGCGCTACAAAGTGGAGAGGTTGACCGTGGCACCCTTACTCATTCATCTACTTTCAGTATATTGTAGTTTATGGGGCTTGGTGAATTAGATTTATGGATCACATTATAAGTTGGAGACAATTTTCTAACATGTTTAAGAATCTTCCCAATGAATAGTTTTAGGATTTTGAACTCATTTGTTACAAATGTAAAAATGCAAGAACATTAAGGTAGACAAATTCAGTAGCTGACTTTTGATGAAGAATCTTTGCATACTTGGTGGATGGGATTGAAATTGTCATAATTCAGTGAGCTCGGCCAAAGATTCAGTTCTTTGATTTGAAGCGCACTCTTGCGTCTTTGACCTCTTGTTCAGGAGATGGGTAACACGTTTCATTCTCAGTCCTTCTGTAATTGTAGTTGGTCATTACACTGATAAGAGTTGCTAATTTTTTCAAAGTTGTTTGCCTTTCCCATTTTGCTATCATCATATAAACTGTTGTCCTGGTTCTGTTCACTTCAGGTGGTATCAATGATAATACAAATCTCAGGTTTCTCTGAAGCCATCCCTTTCCTTATTTCTTACTACATTATTGTATTCCATCACATTTATATGCCATAATTCTCCAGTCAAATTCCCATTCTTTGCTACCTCAAAAAGAATTGTAAATATGTTTATACATCCTTAGAGTTTGTTTCCTTAGGATTGATACTTTTCCTCACTTTCCCCTTTCCCTCCTGTTTCTCTGAGTGAAATGTATTTCTGTACCCGTGTGTGTGTGTGTGTGTGTGTGTGTGTGTGTGTGTGTGTGTGTGCGCTTCCTTCTTTTGACCAGTTCAGATGACAGCCAGGATCCCTCCATCCCTTGCTCTTTGTATAGCTGTCTGCATGCACACCCTGATTATGAGATAATTTTCCATAACCTTCCTTCCCTCCTGCTCCAAGGTATTCCTTTCCCCTTCACTTTCCATTCTTAGAATCATCAAGACATAACAGAAATCCTCCCAAGCCTTATCTGATTGGGACTCCTTTTGTGACCCCTGATGAGGTTAGAGGTCAGAGGGAGCAAATGTTATCATCTCCCCATATTTGAATGTAAGCCGTTTATCCTTGTATGATCCTTTATTCTTGTTCATTTGTGTTTGCCTTTTTATGTTCCTCTTGACCCCTTTGTCTGAATTTCAAAGTTTCGGTGCAGCTGTGGTCTTTGCATCTGGAATACTTGGAAGTCCTCTATTTCATTAAATTCATTCATTCTTCTATTTCATTAAAGTTTCATTCTGCTTGTAGCATTATACTCAGTTTTGCGGGGGTTAGTTATTCATTGCTGTTACCCAATATCCTTTGTCTTCTGGGATATGGTATTCCAAATTCTTGACTTCTTTATAGTCGTGGTTGCTAAATCATGTGTGATCTTGACTGGATCCTTGGTATGTGAATTCCTTACTTCTGCCTGCCCACAGTAATTTTTTTTCCTTTTGCCCTGGAAACTCAGGATTTGGCTGGGAGTTTTCATTTTGGTGTTTCTTTCAAGAGGTGACCAGTAGATTCTTTTATATTTCTACTTTGCCCCCTGAGTTTTCTTTTAAGATTTCTTGAAATAGGATGTCAAAACTCTTTTTTTTTTTTGGTCATGGCTTTCAGACAGTACAATGATTCTTAATTTTTTCTCCTCAAACTGTTTTCCGGGTCTGTTGTTTTTACTAAGAGATACCTTACAATTACTTCCTTTTTTCTTTTCAGTCTTCTGACTTTGTTTTAATATTTCTTGACACCTCATGGAATCTTTGGTTTCTGTTTTTCCATTCTGATTCTCAAGGAGTTTGTTCCTTGGGCAGGGTTTTGAACTTATTGTGCCAAGTTGTTAATTCCTTTTCCAGTTCTTTCTTCTAGAGCCCATACTTCTTTTCTAATTTTTTCCTCAAATGCTCTCATTCCATTTATAAAGACATTTTTAACTCTTTAAAAACTCTTGCTTCATCTTTTCTAGGCATTCCAATTTAGTTTGTGACCAAGCTGTTTTTCTCTGAGGCAATGCTTATGGATGCTCTGAAGTCATTCTCTTTTTTTGGGTTTGTGTCTCAAGCTTCTTTGACACCATAGTAGTCTTTATAGTGTGGTTCTTTTTTGTTTCCTCATTCTTTCAGCCTCCTTCTTGACTTTGAACTTTATGTTAGGGCTGGGCTCAGCCACTCCTCTGGAGGGAAGGCTTGGACTAGTCCTATTGCTACTTTCTTGAGAATTATTGAATGAGGTTGAATGTTTGGATATTTCAGGATCTCAGGGATAGGCTAAGGACCTGCAATCTTTCATTGCTCCCAGAATGGTCTGATTGCTTCCCCCTTGATCTGTATTCTGCAAGTTCCTGATGTGGGTTTAGGTCTGAGCACAAGTAGCCTGTGCCTGGACTCTGCCTCAACATACAACTGGACAGATTCCTGCGCTGGTTATTCTTCTGCAGGCTAGGCTAGATGCTCGAAATTAAACTATACTCTGCACCTGAGGTGTGACCTATACTGCTGTCACTGCTGCCTTCTGAAATTCTTCTTTGCTTGGTGCATGGTAGAGGGCCGCCCCAGCCAGGACTTCTGCTCCCCTGCACAATGTCTCCTCAGTTCTTTCTGGATATATGACCCAGAACTCAGTGGTAGGTGACAAGTAGACAGTTCACACTTGGACCTCCTGTTACATGTTACAGAACCTTTCTGTGCGTATTAGAGTGTGCTGAGGTATGCTCCTGGCCCAATCCTGTCCCCAGTGTCTGATGATCTTATCTACTTATGCTGAGTTGGGCTAGACAAAAGACTATGGGACTTTTTCTGGTTTTCCCCATCACGAGTTGATCCGCTGCATTTTCTAGATCTGTTTTGAGGAGTCTTTTAAAAGGGGACTCACTACACTACTCCCTACCACTCTCCCTTCTTGGCTCCTTTTTAAATTTGACACCTGAGTAGCAAATGTACTGAGGTTGAGAGAGACTTGATTTAGAGGGACCATTCTGTTTGCTATTAGAATAATCTTGGTGTGAGGTGATGAGGACCTGCAGCAGGCTGGTGGCAGTGCCAAAAGAAGGAGAGAGTGGTAAATAAGATAGATGTAACAAGGGAAGAAATAACAGGACTTAGCAGTTGATTGGATATGGACAGTGAAAGAGATTAAGGAAAAATGAGAGTAACAGTAGAATCTTGCCTTATAAGCTGCCTGTGAACCAGACTTCTATCAGAGTCCAGCTGAGGAAGAAACTGGTCTTTCTTTGCCCCCCTAAACTGGAAATTGGGAGCAAGGTCATGTATTCATGCATTTAAACCTAAAATGTTAAATTCCCAAGGAAAAAGTCCACTTGTGTGCTGATTTGATTCCAAATTGAAACTTGATTTAGAGAGCTATTGATTGTGAGTTTGCTACTTAAAATGCCACCATGTTTGTACTCTCAATTCCCTTTACCCCCAAAGCAGCATTGGAATGAGCTACTCCATTTTGGTGGAGTGGCTTGAAGAGAGGAAATTAAGTTGCTGTGTAGTCACTTAGTGTATCTTTCATAAATTGTCTTAAACTCCCTCTCTTCCCCCACCCCCACCCCAGTGAAACTGCAGTTTAGGATGAATCCAAAGTGTAATTCTCAGGCCAGAAAACACCCCCACACCCAACACACCCCTCTTCTACTTAAATGCAGTATATTATTCCTGCAGTTTTTATAATAAATTCTATGATTGACAGAGAGAAAGGGATATGTTGAATCCCAGAATAGATGTGTGTTTTTATTAAGGTTTAATTCATTCATTGTCCATAATGAGTTTTAACCCCAAGTTTTTTCAAAGTTGACTTCAGGTGATCCCGAGTGTTTGGTGGTCTCGTGTCTTTCCTATTGGTTCCCTTAGCACTACTCCTACTTTCCCTCATTTTATAGAGATAGCACATCTCTTGTAGACATCTGGTAAATAGCCAGAGAATTGCAGGAGTGGAAAATATGGTAGGCACAGTCAGGATAATCAGACTAATTAGAATTGTTAGGAGAATGTGTTATTTCCTTTGGAAAATTGTTTAAATGATCTTGGAAGCCCAGAAGGAAGAAATGAATTTAGCTGTGACAACATTTAAGCTTCAGTTTCTTCTGTCTTTTAGAAGGGGAGGGAAGCAGGAGATGGTGATATGACTTCCCATGACATTAGCCTAGAGGGGTAGAGAAAGAATAAAAAAATACCTTTAAAAAAGAATCCGCCGCAGCTATAAACCTCTATGGTTAGTTGAGCCTAGTGAAAATGGCAAATTGTTGTTAATGATAAAAACATTGATGGCATATATGGACACAGAATTGGTTAGGGGATGGGGAGTAGAAAATAGAGTATTTCCTCCTCTAATCTGGACCACATTTTGATGCCATGTGGGTAAAAGAGGGGTGCCACTAAACCTGGAGGGAAATAATTCTCTATAGTGACCCACTTTAACCTCACTGGATTGTAAAGAACCTAATTTTACCATTGAAACAACTTCTCAGGTTGCTGATGGTCCCACCTTTATTCTCCTTCCTCCTCCTCAATCAATCCCTGGTTACTTTTGCTCTTCCAGTTGTCTCCTGCCAACTCCAGCCAACTCCATTGTTACCATTAGCCTCCAGGGCTAGTTTTCTGTCTGTACCTTAATAAGTGCTATGGTGTCCACAAATGAAACCCACAAAACCTTTTGTTTGTTTCTTTTTAATTAGACCTTTCTTGTTTGGAGTATCCTGTAGTTATCTGGAATATCATCTGATAACACTGATTCACATCTGCAGTATTAGGTCCATAATACCCTATTTGATAGAATGGGCATAAATTCACAAACCACATTTTAGGGCCATGCAGAGAACAAAGATAAGCTTGATTCCATTCAAAAGGATTCCTTTGATTCCTTAATAGTTTGGACTGACCTATAACCTATAAAAAGCTATAGGTTGTAGGTGATCATTTCCATATATTGTTTTCAAAGATAATAATACTTTGTGAGTCTTAATATATTGGATGATTTTTTTTCTTCCTTCTCCAGTGGAGTTGGATTCAGTTTCCTGTTTTCCTGGGCATTGATGATCATAGTGGTTTCCACATTTGTTTTGGGTGGAAATGTAGAAAAATTGGTCTGTGAACCCTTTAAAGACAAGACTATATTTCAGGTAAGGATATGGTTAACAGTGTTTTTGGTTTTATTTTTGTGTGTGTGCCTGTGTATTTTGATGTCATAATCTAAACTTTTAAATTTCTATAATTAGTGTGTGGCTTGGGAGTGAGGGGGAGAGGAGTTGGGGGACTTGAATAAAGAGGCAAAAACTATGGAGGAGAGGAGAGCAGAAGAGGATGTGATTAATCAAATGAATTGAGGGTCTTTGTATCAATAAGAAAAAGAAACAGTTCAGATTCTTGGCTGTAAATAAAGTAATCTGCATTTATTATTCAGGATAGTAGTTGCCCTTTAAAACAATGAACATTCTTTGTAGAGTCAGGCTATAAATAAAATTATATTTGAAGAAGTGTTTTGTGAAGCAGAGATCCAATGCCAAAGATCTTCAGCTATCAGAAGAGGCAGTATTGGAATGGAGTATTTATCCCCATTTGGTCTTAGACCTCTTTCTACAGAATCAGCTACTAAAGACCATTAAGGCAGCTGGTTGTAGTAAGGATATTTTAGTTATTCAGCTGTAACAATGGAAACTAGGTTCAGGCCACTATTTTGCCAAATCAAGTCCTTTTGGTTTTATAATTATAAACAAGCCAATTGTTCTCCCATGCCCCAGTCTTACTTTACTGAACAGAGCTAGCTTGGTATTGCGTTGCATATGCTACTCCATGGTAAAGCCATACGTTCAAAATCCATCCCATAGGGGAGGGGATGGAACATTGAATTTAAACTTGGGCTTGAATCCAAGCTTTGTTGGGTGTGACGATAGGTAAGATGCTTACCGCTTCTGAGCATCTTTTCTGGGTCTAAATCCTATGATCCATCTTCTGTCTTTTAACTGGAAAGCCAAGATTAGAATGGGAAAATTAAACTGTCTTCTAAATTCCTCATATATAAAGCAAGTGAAGAGGAAGGGGAAATGTTGAGATTATTTTTTACCAAATTAATGTAATTAATTACCTATATATTAATAATAAGAGGCCTTTTGGGTTCTAGGTTTTGGATACCCCTTATTTATTCAGTGAGCAGTGGAAAAACTACCTTTCGGGTCTCCTGTTTAAAAATCCTGATGTTAATCTCACCTTTGAGCAAGTTTACAGGTACAAAAATTGCCCAGTGAGGGCTTTAGTATGACATGGTGATGGTTTTGTTTGGTTCTAATTTTTCAACATGAGAGCATTGCCTTCGAAAGTCTTCACTGGTAGTTTCTTTATAATATCCTTCCATCTTCATGGTAATTTTAGTGGCTCTTCTGCAGTACCCCCCTGCAGCTCCATTTTGTCTTTTAGCATTGAAAAAGAACTGGGTTTGGCATCAAAAGATCTGAGTTTGAATCCCAGCTCTTCCATTTACCAACTATATGACTGTGGGCAAGTCATTTCATTTCTCTTAGCTTCCTCATCTGTAAAATGTGAATAATACATGTTTGTTCTGAAGAAAGTACATTGTAGACTGTAGAGTCATTTAAAAATATGAGGAGTCATTCATTACCCAGGGAACAGTATACAAGCATTCCTAGAGCTCTCTCCCGGGTCCTAACTGATAGATTGAAACCCACAATCTTGTATCTTATCCTTATATGATTAGTTTGCACATTGAAAATCATTTACCTTTTTTCTCCCTATTCACAAGGCCTTGCCAAACTCACCTACAACTTATCTTCATTGAATGGGCATTTAACAACCTGGAAATGTTTTAGCATCATCTGCAAACTGAGAAAATTCACTTAATGATCTATCTTGTAGCTCATACATTAAAATATTATATAAAGACAGTCAGCATTAATCTCAGAGGTATCCCACTATTTACTTTACTCAGAGAAGTTTCTGTTTATTACTTTTGTAAATTAATCACCATCAACAGATTCTAATAAGGAAAGAAATCAAATATGTAATCTTCAGATATGGATAGGTACTATACTTGTGATTTCATTGGTGAAACAACACGTGGATGAGGAAAATCTCTACCAGAGCAGGTTGGCACCTCTCTAAAATTAGTTTTAGAGAATTGCCTAGAGCACTGAGAGATCAACTGATTTGCCCCAGGTCACACAGTCAATTTGTGGCAGAATCCAAGTCTTCCAGAATCTGAATGCTGCTTTCTATCCATTAGTTCTTCTGTCTCTCTGGATAAAACTAAAATTCAAGTTACTAGGATACTCTCATTGTAGAAACTCTCAAGTGATACAGTCTGTATCTTACAGTGTCTAGCACATTGCAAGCACTACATAAATGGTGGTGGTGGTGCTGGTGCTGGTGCTGGTGCTGGTGATGGTGGTGATGGCAGAGGTGGTGGTGATGGTGGTGGTGGTGTCATCAGAGTTTTAGAAAATTGCCTGGGGAGCACTGAGAGGTTGTGTGACCTGTTCACAGTTGCATAGCTAGTATGTGGCAGAGTCAGGACTTGAATCCTTACCTTACTGACCTTAAGTCTGGCCCTCTATACAATTATACAACATAGCCCCCTAATCAAATAGCAAACCTGTTATCTAATATTCATTTTAACATAAAAAAGAATAATACTTTTGGAACCAGTCACCATTAGACTCAGCTCCCACCTGACTGAATTACATTATAATTATAATGATATATTATTATTACATGGTACTATGTACTTTTTACTTTCTTAAGTGCTGTCACATATGTAAACAGCCCCCAATTTATGAACAGGTGGTGTTGCAAAGGTTCATTTAATTGGAATTTGGAGTTAATTTTTCCCCAGAAGTAATGTTATCAATTGTTGTGAAGGTCCTCAGCTAACCCACACAAACTCATTTAACTCATAATTTACTCCAGTCCAGTAGATGTTTATTGTAAGTGTACTATACATAAGGATCCTGTATCAAAACTTATTACAAGTTTCAATTCAGAGTACCTGGAACATGTTCAATCTCCTGATAAGACATCAATGCAGGGAGTGGGAGCTCTCCCAGTCCACCAATACTTGTAGTATCAAGATTGGGACTTCGAGAAGAAGATATAAGGACATAGGTATAGATTTGTGACTGTGGGAAGGGGAAAGATGAGGGTAACACAACAGGGGAGAGTAATGTAGTTCCAGTGGGTGACTAGAGTAGGAAACTATAGCAGAGAAAATTTAGTGATTAGCCCAAGGTAACATAGCTAAACATTGTCCTTGATTTGGAAAGCTGATACTGACTTTATTTATGTCTGTCCCCTGGATATAATCAGTCCGTATAATTTAATTTTATCTGTAATTGCTCCAAATAAAACACAAAAGGAGGAGTAGAGGTGGAATGGGGGGAAATCAAGTTCTAAGGGAAGGTGGAGAGATGTCATTGGTAGGTACATAAGGTTTCAGTGGTACTGCCACCTTGTTGAAGTGGATTTTCCTTCCATCCATACAGATTTCAACTCATCCATGCCTTCTTATCCTTTGATTTTTTTTTTTGTCCATATTCTTCCATGCATCTAACACAGATTATCCAATGTGCTGGAGGCCTTTGGTAGATTGAGTATTGTCCTTGGACTTGGGAGAACCCCCTGAGTTCGATTCTTTCCTCAAATACTTACTAGTAGTGTCACTCTGGGCAAGTCTCGATTTCTTTTAGCTTCGGTTTGCTCATCTGTAAATTGAGGATAGTAATTGCACCAACCTCACAGGGTTGTTGTGGGGGGCAAATGAACTAGGGTATGCAAAGTGTTTTGCAAACCTCAAGGTGCTCCTCTCTTACCCTTCACTTTGGGTATATAATTCGCCTACTACCATTTCCAATCATACATTTCTTTGTTGCTTTAAATATTGTCTCTCATCCCATTCACTTTCCCTATAGAGTTATGGAGGTTTGCTTCCTAGGATATTTTTCTGTGGCCACTTAATGCTTATATAAAAGACCCCCCAAAAAAATCCAGGAGAGAGTATTTACTGAATGCATGGACATAATTCCAAAGCTTAGAAAGGGATCAGAGAGCCTTGGAAATAACTCATTACACTCTTGGTTCCCCTGGTGTATCTTCAGCATTGAGAACCTCTTCGCCCTTCTCAGATTAAAAAAAAAAAACAACAGAAATTTCAGATAACTTTCTTCATAATCATCAGCAAAGAACATAGATAGCACCAGCTCGGCCTTTCTGAATATGATTGATGTGTTTATTTCCCATAGTGACTGCAAGAAAAATAAAGGCATTTATACCTCTCTGCAGCTTGATAAATTCTACAATATCAGCAAATTTCTGACCATTAGTCAGGTAAGTCAATAGAACTCGGTATGTAATGGACATATTATTCCATGTAACAAAGTTATCTCTCATGCTGCAGAGCTTGCTTTGTGGGTTTACCAGTAATAAATGGTCTTAATGTGGTTTGTTCAAGTCAGAGCTTCCTGGGGAAGGCTGTATGTTCCTCCACAGTGGAGTCTCCTGGCACGCGGCGCCTCCTTCCCCATGTTTGAGAGACGAATTATGTAATGGGTTGTTTGTCCTTTTGAAAGTGATGTTGTCAACAAAGGGCCAGAATTCTTCTCCTGGGCTTGGTTAGAGTCAGGAAGACCTTGTTCAGATAACCATCTCAGTCACTGTCCAGCTGTATGATCTTGGACAAGACTTTTAATACATCTAAACCTCAGTTTTATAATCTGTAAAATCAGGGTAATCATGTCTGTAGTACTTACATCATCAGGTTGTTGTGAGGCTCAAATAAGGAAGCATATTGCTTTGCAAACTTTAAAGCACTAGGTATGTGTGACCCTGGGCAAGTCACTTAACCCCAATTGCCTAAAAACTAAAAAAAATGAAATGAAAAAGAAGTATATAAACATCTGTTAGTCTTATTAAAGCCCCAGTTTCTTCAGTGATAGGGGATTGGGTATTTCAGTTGCCCATTTTTGAAAGGCAACATGATCTAGTAGAAAAATCCTGGTGATAAGATTAGAAGACCCAGATTTGAATCCTAGTTCTACGACTTATGCATTGTGAGACCTCAGCAAATCACCTGAACTTTCTGGTCCTCAGTTTCCCTATATATAAAATGAGAATGATAATTCCTGTAGTACCTGCCTTGCAAGTTGGTATAAAGTAACAGATGAAAAGTACTTTGTAGATTTTAAAGTTCTATTTTGCTGTCAGCTATTAATATTATTACTATAAGCCCCCCATGATGACTTTACTAGTGATTCGGATTGAGTATGTCATTCCAAATGCAGTCAGATCACTCTTTATCATCTGACCTGTATCCTCTGCCCCACCCTACCTCCAGACCTGTGCTCATGCCTTGCACTCATTCAAATCTTTCCTGTTTTTCAAGGCATGACTCAAGGTCGCTCAAGGAGACAGCATAGTAGATTAGAAAGATCCCTCAATTTAGAGTCCATGGCCAGTGGCTCTTCCACTGATTGACCTTGGGCAAGTCCCTTAACTTTCCTGACCTCTCAAAATAAGTTTCCTTATTTTGAAATGCTCTCCCTGTCCTCCAAAATCTTAGGATATTGATGTTTTTAAACTATTTCACTTAATTTTGTAATACGGGGTCCCCAAAGTCTTGGTGCGGTTTGAAACTTTAATAGCTAAGGTGCAGAAGCTTGTGATGTAGTGGGTGTAGTTATTGGGGGGCCTTGGAAAAAGCTCATCACTCACTTGACCTTTTGACCTTTAAGGTTTTATGGTTTAATAATTAGCTTAAAAACTTCAAAACCTTTTGGGACATTGTATACAACATTGTCTTATTTTCCTGTTGTTTTCTCGATCCAGTCCCCAACTATGTGACTTCTTTAGGGCAGGACCCATGCTTTTATACCCCCAAAAGGTTCTGGGCATAATAATAGGCACTGACTAAATCCTTTTTGCTTGGTTGTCTGGTTGCTTGATTTGGGCTGCCATGATGGAGACTCCACCAGGAAGGCATAATTCAGTCATCATTTTGATGAAACCATTCAAAGTACAGTCTTAGCCCGTGCTGACATGTTTAAAGTTCGGTGTCATGAAGCCCTTTGGCAGTCTGGTGAAGCCACTGGAACCTTTCTTAGAATCATGGTATTAAAGGCATACAATAAAATACAGAGGATTATAAAGGAAACCAATTATATTGAAAAGCAATGAACAAAACTTTTTTTTTTAAGTTTACAGACTGGAGGTTAAGAATTCCTATTCTTGGGGACAGCTAGGTGGTACAGTAGATAGAGCACCAGCCTTGGAGTCAGGAGGTCCTGAGTTCAAATCCAGCCTCAGACACTTACTAGCTGTGTGACCTTGGGCAAGTCACTTAACCCTATTACCTAGCCAAAAAAAAAGAAGAAGAAGAAAAAGAATCCCTATTCTTCAGTGAAGTACTAGTCAAGTAGGGAGTAAATACTCCCTGCTAAACACATAGGTTGTTTGCTTTCCCCCATCCTGCCAGTTTTTATTGCTTATTCTCTTTCCTCTCTCTGCCTCCCCATTTCCCACCTTCTCTCTCCCTTCCTCTCTCTTTCACCTTCTCTCCTGCTCTCCTCCTCTTTCTTCTTCCCTCCTTTTCTTTCTCCTTCCTCCTTCTCTCCTTCTTTTCCCTCCCCCTCTCTCCCTTCTTCCTTCTTCCTTTCCCACCTTTTTCACTCCCTCCTTCCCCCGATACCTTATCTGTACATATCTGTATTTGTGTTATCCCCTCGACCTAAGTCTAATATAAGCTTCTTGAGGACAGTATCATAAGACCGTAGATTTAGAATTGGAAGAGACCTTAGAAGTTATCTAGTCCAGCTCACCCTCCATTTATAGATGAGGAAACTGAGGCTCAGAGAGGTTAAGTAATTTGTCCAAGGTCTCACAGATAATAATCAGCAGAACCAGGGTTCGAACCCAAGTCATCTTACTCCAAATTCAGCACTCTAACCACTATACTGTGCTACCTTTTGATTTTGTGTTTGTGTTCCCAGTTCTTGTCTCGAAGCCTTGCACATAGGAGATTTTTAAATAAATGTATGTTGAAATCAATTTTAATGACGCTATTTTCTTTTCGCTTAAAGAATTCAGTTACACATCTCTGCAGAATAAATTCATTTCTACTTTCCATGTTTGTTTTTAATTTTTTAATACAGTATACCCAGGATCTAACAGTTCAATTTGAAAGTATTAAAATAAACCTTAGCAACGTAGTTTTACTGGATGAAGTGGGAAAAGAGAACCTTTTGAATTTCAGTTTCTCAGGAATAGATGGAATTGATTTTGCAGCTTATTTGGCTGAGGTAAGATTTCTATATTCTTGAATCTATTATTTAGGGAAAATTAAAGCTTTGAAAATATTTATGCCTTTTACAAATGATATGGATTCTGTCACCTGTAACAACACCTGAGCCTAGGATTTGGCATCTGGAGATCCAGCTTTGAATCCTAGTTCTGAGGTTTGCCATTTCGGTGACTAGGAAGAAGTCACTTAACTTCTCTAAATGTGTGTTTCCTGTTTGTAAAATGGAGGTAACACATACAGTGGAGTGTAAGCTCCTTGATGGCCAATAGCCAAAACTGTTTAGTTTTTGTATTTGTTTTATATCATCAGTGCTTATCACAATGCCTAGCTCACAGTAAGTGCTTAATGAGTACTTTTTTGTTCACTCATTCATTTGTTGGGTTAAATACTTGTACTGCCTATCTCACCTGAAACTCTTGACATCCTTTTTTTAGGTCAATAAGAGTATAACAAAAGTGGATCTATTATCATTTGCCAATGATTTAGAAGCAAGAGCAGAACAGTTGGTAAGTTTAAATTATATATTTGAATGATATGTTGTTGACAGCTGTTAGGAAATAATGTGTGTAGTTTGCTTGGCAGACATTAAAGTGCTACATAAATGTGAATCATTTTTATTATTCTCATTGTATGTATAAATATTCTTGGGCACTGGTAGCAAGGGCTCCCACTTCTCCCATTAAGGGACCTTGGCTTGAGAATCACATGGATCAGGTCCAGTCTTAAAGGAACTTGACTTTTAAAAGGGGGATGTCAAGCTTTTCTTGAATTGTCCACCATATTGTGTCCCCACTCTAGAGCAGAACTTTGGGGAAATCTCTTACATGAAGTTTAGGAATGGCTCGAGTCTGGGGTTTCGCTAGAAGGGATTAATATGGTACATTCTAGAAGGAAACTCAGTATACAAAGTAGATCAGGCTTAGGACAGATCTATATTTCTTCTACTACCCCCCCAAAAAAGAAATGCTAAAAATAAAAATGACTCATAACTACGCATTGACATACAGTCTTCAACACAAAACTTCAAGCATTCATGTGATTTTTATTAGTAACCTCATTTTCACTTTGGCATTGGCAACCACACACATTTGCAGCTATGTGCAGTAAAGAAAAAAATGAGACGCCTAATGTGTACAATGTCGCGTCAGTGTTGTGGAGTGGCTGGTATCTTATTAGGCACTTCAGTGGTCTTATTCCCCCCTTTTGTTGTAAAGAGCTCCATGTGCATACATTTTCATTGTTTGCCTTTAAAACTTAAGTTTTGTGTTACCATTATGCCCCCAAAGTGTAGTGCAAGTCCTTTGGCTCTAAGCCCAAGTATGCAAAGTCAGTGACGTAGCTTAGTGAGAAAACGAAGGTGTTAGATAAATTTAATGCCAGAATGTCTGCAGCACAGAATTAATTTTTTGTTATAAAGAATTGTACGCAAATGAGTGTATTTTCAACAATTTCTAGCAAAAGACTAGTTTTTGGTTGTCAGGGGAACCTAACTTCCTATTTCCTGTAGGTTCAATTTATTAGCATTCATGTTTTTAACATTTTCTAGGAACGTTACCCTCACAAAAGTTAAAGATTTACTGTATTTAAATTATGATACAATAAATTAAAAATAAATAAATAAATAGCATGTTGTAGTACTTTGAGACTTGCAAAACACTTTACAAATGTTCTCTCTTTATCCTCACAACAACCCTGAGAATTACGTACTATTATTGTCTCTGTTTTACAAATGATAAAACTGAATCAATCAGTGGTTAAGTGACTTAACCAGCATCACATAGTTAGCAAGTTTCTGAGACTATATATTAACTCACTTATTTCTTTCAATTAATTTTTAGTCTGTCTTTCCATGGACCTGTATTACATGTAATTTTTCTTGCATCATAATCTGAAAAGGATGCATTTAATATTTCTAGATTTCTGCATTGGACTGTGAATGTTTTATGCCCTAGTACATGGTCAGTTTTCGTGTACATGCCATGTACTGCTGAGAAAAAGGTGTATTCCTTTATCCTCTATTCCCATTCAATTTTCCCCAGAGGTCTACCATATCTAACTTTTCTAAACTTCTGTTCCCCTCCTTAATTCTATTCCCCTTTTTTCTTGTTTATTTTGTCATTAGATTTATCTAGTTCTAAGAGGGGGAGGTTTTGCTGTCTATTTCTTTCTGTAATTCACTTAACTTATCCTCTAAGAATTTGGGTGCTATGCCACTTGGTGCATATATTAACTCAGTTATTTCTGAATCCAGATCCAACATTCTATTCACCTTGCCACCTACTGAGATTGATCCTTAAAACACCAAAATGTGAAGCACTGTGTAGGACTATTGAATAAACATTTAACCCTTACCTTTGTCCTTTACTGTCTAAGAAACTCTTTTGAGATACATATCTTCACATGAGCTCAGTCATGAGTTGGTCTCCTACTTTTTGGGGGGGGGCTAGGCAGCGGGGTTCAGTGACTTGCCCAAGGTCATACAGCTAGTAAGTCTTAAGTGTCTGAGATCAAATTTGAACTCAGGTCCTCCTGACTCCAGGGCTGGTGCTCTATCCACTGCGCCACCTAGCTGCCCCTTTGGTCTCCTACTCTTGATGGTAGTCATTTTCTCCTTTGAGAAATTGTTTTGGAGATCACCTCCTACCAGAAAAACAGTACCTAGACCCAGAAGTTCCTCGCCTCTTTAATTCATGAGTTTGCTGCCAACATTAGGAACATCTATCTCAGGTTTTCTGTTGAGTCACCTGTGCTTAAGGAAAGAAACACGGAGCAAAAGAGGCAAAAAAAGATTTAAGATTTTTTCTCAGACTCATCTGGATAAACATGCCTCACTGCCACATGCAAGTAACCGTCCTTGCTGCTAGGAGAGAAGGGGAGAGAAATCCTTCTTTGGGAAGTCTAAGGAAGGTTGTTAAAAATCCAGAGCCATGCATTCTTAAGAGAGGGTAAAGAACCTATTTTCATTTTTACCTTTATAGTTCAAGTTTTGTGTTATAATCATGCCCCCAAGTCATAGTGCAGGTCTTTTGGGCTCTAAACCCAAGTATGCCAAGTTAATGATGCATCTTAGTGAGAAAATAAAGACCTTAGTTAAACTTCATTTCATAATGTCTGAAGCTACAGAATTAATGTCCAGGTGCTGGTTTCCTGGCAGGGGGTCATCTCCAAAACAATTAATGGACAGTTCACTGAGCCAAAGTCTTTTCCTATCACAGGGCATAAGGGGAACCAACCAGAAGCCTCAGGTTACACATACCCTTTATCAGGGGTAAACCAGGGTGGGCACATCAGGTCCTTTCCAATGCATGCTTCATGGGACGGCAGGTGTTATCTGTGCCATTCTAAGGAATGTTACTAACAAATTCCTGCATCTGAAAGGTATCCATTAGGAAAACAGACCCTTTCTGCATAATCCACATTTCTAACAATAAGTTTCATAAGGCTTCCTGGTTCTTTTTTTTAAAATAATTTAATTCATTAATTTTGATTCTACAAAGAAGGAAATAAGTATTGTTACTTCATTCATGTCTGCCCTGTTGGGGGAAGGCAGTGTGGTGTAGTAGAAGAGGCCCTGAACTTAGTCTGGAGGCTCAAGTTTGAATCCTAGCTTTCTACTTCCTAATTCTGTGGCTCTGGCGAAAGGTGTTTGGTTAATGTCTCCAAATCTCAGTTCTCTCATTTGTATAAATGGAGATAGTAATACTTGGTCCTCCCTGTCACCCAGAGTTGTAGTTGAGGAAAGAGCTTTGCAGAACCTTAAAGCTCCAGATAAAAGAGAGTTATTATTATAACCACATCCTAAGTCACGCTGTGTGTATTTCAGCCAACCAAAAACAACTCTTCAGGCAAGGCAGGGAAAGGGACTTTGCTTTAATCCTTCTCAAAACGTTGAAGCACTTATCATGAGTTCTCATGCTGAGGGCATGAGAGAATGTTCAGGGCTTAAGAATTTTAAACTTTGCTCTCTGTATTATATAGAGTACAGTGACTTTAAGTGGAGATATTCATCAAGCACCCTCAAGCTTGGGTTTTGTCTACTGGGCTGTTATTCTTCCTTTCCTTTACCCATTCCCTTGCTTATCAGAAAAGCAAATGAATCAGAAAAGCTTAAAAACCAGTCTCCAAAGGTATCCATCTATACTCCCTGCTGCTCCCTTTAAAAGGAGAGATGCATGTCTGTCCCATGCTCCTGGATTAGTTCATGTTACTAGTGTTATTTTTCCAGGGGAAGCCTGAAGTGCCTACTGATCTTGCATTATTTTTACTGTATTTCTAGCCCAAAGGAGCTTTGGAAAATGCCCTGAAAGGGCATGCAAGCAATATTCGAATGATCCATCGTCAACGTGTGATCCCTATGGAGCAGGAAATGGTAAACGTTATTTAATAAATAAGTACCCAAGACATAACTCACTGTCACTTTTTTTCCTACCAAAATCTATTCATAAAATCATCTCTAGTTTAGAGGAATGAATGGCATGTTGCCATTTCACATACGTTAAGCTAGGTTTTAGTGTTGCTCCTATTAAGAAGAACTTGACTGCTGTACTCCAGTGTCTGCAAAATGGTAAGACAAAACAAAATGTCTTATCACTTTACCAGTCTTGCTTGCTGGTTTCTACTTTTGCTTTTTTAGTCTAAGTGTTTGAGTTCATCTTAATGTGAGTGGGATGCAGCCTTTAAAAATGTCACTGATATAAAAATGCCTTTTAGGACATCTCTATGCTTATATTTCTTTTCAAATTGGCCCTTACTTATTTTCCAATTCTTTCTCTCCTAACTGACTGTCAAGAAATATGTTAAAGCCAGGGTAAGTGCCTTATTTTTATACAGTAGATAACCTTGTGAGTCATTATTGTCTTTCTGCTTTGTTTTTTCTCCTCTCCTCTGTTTTCGATTCTCCCTTTGTCCTTCCTAGTCATTGTTTTCTCTCTTCTTCCCCCTTAATAAAATTGAATATATGTTGTGTGCATGTTATGATATGCTTAGGTAAACTGGATCTTTCGCAAATAGACATGATCATTATCATCAAGCATTTATCAAGAACTTACTAGGTGCCAGGCATTGTGCTAAGCCCTAAGGATACAAAGAAAGGCAAAAACAGCCCCTGCCCACAAGGAGCTCCCATTCTATTGGAGGAGACAACCTGTGAACAACAATGAACCAGCAAGATTATATTTATATATAAGACAGAGACAGAGAGAGAGACAGAAACAGAGACAGAGAGAGGAACTGGATAGCAGTCCCAAGAGGGAAGACACTAACATTGTCAAAAGTGGGGGAGAGCAGCGAAAAGCTCTCTTGCAAAAGGTGAGAGCTTGTGACAGGGAGCTTTAGAAAATCATTTTGTCTAGTGAGTGGAGGATTGACTAGAAGGTGAGAGCTTGAGGCAGGGAGACCAACCAGCCCAGGCCTAGCCATGATTTCTCTGAACCATGTTGCCATGTTGTAAGTAAGTTCTCTGTGGTCAGGGGTTGGTTTTTGTTTTGTCTTGTGGTTCCCCAACAGCCTAACACACTGCCTTGCACACTGCAGGTACTTATTTAAATTTTGTAGGATTCTTTTTGATGAAAAGGACTGAGGAATACTTAAGGGGAGGGGAAGAGAGGGATCAGAAGGGAGTTGGAGATGGGTGTTGTCACTATCTTCAGTTATTTGCAGGTTTTTCTTGTAGGACCAAGTGTAAGCCCAAGGAACAGAACTAGGAGTAATGGATGGATGTTATAGGAAGGCCTATTTTGAATAAGAACTTCATATTAATTAGAGTAGTCCCAAAATGAGCTGCCATTTAAAATAGTGAGCTCCCCGTCCTTGCATTCCTGTTACTAGTATACTGTTTTTTAAATGCTAATAAGTTGAGTTTTAAGAAAAAAAATTTAAGTTGATTTTTATTTACTATCCTGAAATTTAAAAAAAAAATCCTCTCATGTTCCTTAGCCAATTTTCTCTCTCCCTTTACTTTTTTTCTTTCCAGTTCCCACAGAAATCAGTAACTACTAATCAACTATTCATAAGTTACTATTATTTTTCATTCTAATATATTGCCATTTCATGCATCTGGGAATATTTGAATGCTTATTTTTTTCATGTTCTAATATTTCTTGGATTAGAAAGAATTTTGTAAGGTCATTCACTTCTGCTATCAGTATCTAGCAGTTTTCATAAAATGAGGCTCTTCTGCCACTGTTAGGCCTGTTGAGATTATTGCCAGACCAGAATAGTGATGGACTGATAGCTGAAGGATCTTGCTGTCTCCTATAATGATGTGGAAATATGATTTTTGCTTATTTCCCAGAGCACTTTAAATCAAAGTATCAGGTTACTACAAAAGACAGCAACTGAACTTACGGTAAGTTTTTATTGTTTATTTTTTCCTCTGGGGAGGTCCTTATATTTTAAAATGCCCTCTACCCTGGTTTGGGGGAGAATTACATTGTACATTAAGAAATAATAAATAATAAATATATTTATTATTTATATATATAAACACTATATATATTAATAATACAATAAATGAATAATGAATAATAAAGTACATAAAGATAAAGAAAAGTCCTTCTTATCTTCAGCCACTTTAAAATTCTAGACTTATAGCTTCTGTGAAAGCATCTATACGTACATTGGAATAATAACAGTGGGGTTAAAGACTTTATCTGGCTGTATTTTTGCAATTAACTCATGGTATTGGGAGTGGGTTAGAAGGCTGAGCAGTCCAGCTGGTGTAGACCAGTTCTACTTCTCAGCTATTATTTGTAAATGGCCTCCAAGGACCCTCATTCCCTTAAGCCACTCTGGGCGTTGTTTTCTTCTCATTGATACAGTCAAGATCATATCATGGTTTTTGATGCTTACATGGGCCAGTTGGATTTGCCATCTTCCATGGCCAAAGACCGGACCCCTGACCTTTTCTGTCAACTTCAGAAATGCCCATGGGGCAAGACACCGAAGCTTAAATCAGTGCAAATCTTTGACCACTACTGATAAACCCCTCCGAACTGCATATCCTTGTGCTAATGCATTGGCACTGTTATTTGTCATTCATAGTAACCACCATAGACAGTGGTTAAACAGGCAGAGTGAAATAAATGGAAAGGACACAGGAGTAAAAGAAGTCAGGAAACCTGGATTCCTGTCTTATTTTCTGCTGCAAACTGGCTGTGAATCCTGGATCGGATACCACTTCCCTTCCCTGAACCTCCTTTTCCTCATCAGTTAGAATTAGGCATGAGACTTGATGATTCCTTTGGTTCCTACTGAGGGAAAGAGAGCTGGACTTGGAATTAGTTGAACGGGGTTCTTATCTCAACTCCGACATTTCCTTTTTATGTGACTTTTCACATCATTTATTCATAATTTCTTTATTTGGAAAGTAGAGATAAATAACCCTTATGCTAATTTACAACAGCTCTGTGAAGTGAGGAAAGTACTTTTTCAACTTTAAAGTTAACGTGACTTATTTTGCTGCTATTATTATATAATTGTACATACTTGTGTAAGAGTCTCTAATTATACCCTTATATGTCTTGGTGCTATTATAATTATTTTTTTCCCCAGGTTAAAGTGTCTCAAGTCATTACAACTGTGGAAGGTGCTCAGTTCCTCATTAATAATAATGCTTCCTCTATTATTATTGAGGTAAATCCTTTTTATTTTTAAAATGTGTCTGTCTGCATATACTATACATATACATATTCACATATGTAATATTTATCAGTAAATATAGCCATATATGCTTAAAGAACTATTTTTCTATTCCACAAATTTTCAGGAAACTAAGAAGTATATGAATATGATCATAGACTACTTTGAACAGTATATTCAGTGGGTCAAAGATTCGGTAAGTGTGCTGTCTTTCATGTTCTGGCATGGTCTAGCCATATCATTTCAGATGGTTAAACATTAGTAAAATTAACAAATGCATTTTCTCATCACTTGGTTAGCTGCAAATAAAAAGTAACTTGGAGCTCCTTGAACAGGGGGAAGAGCTTTGGCTCTCTTGAAGAGAAGCACCATTTGTGGAAAAGGAGTAATGGTCTTGACTTGTTGCCACACAGTGTAACTTTCCCCCTTGCATTCATTGTTGAGGTGACTTGCAGTGGTTGGTAGGAAAGATGCCATTACCCAAAGGTGACCTCCAGCCTGTATCTTCATGTGCTGATAATTCCATCACTCCTGGAAAACTCTCAGTAGCAACTGCTTGCCTAGATTGGTCTCCAGTATTGCTAGAGATTTCCAAAAGCTTTAGACTCAGCTAGGCTACCAAGTTAGCAGTCATGTTCTTCCACAGACTCTATTGCTGACTAGCTGCATGACCTTGAACAAGTCACTTCCTTTATCTCAGTTTCCCCCTTTGTAAATGAGTTGATTGGATATGACAATTAAGTACCTGTTGTGAACAGAGAACCATGTCAGGCACTACACAGATGGTCCTAGAAATATGCAATAAGACACAGCCCTTGACTGTGTTCTGCTTCCATAGTAGTGGAACAATGCAATAGATACTCAAGTGCTTTGTGAGTGAGGGGTCAGATGAAGAAGGCCAAACGTTCCAGCATAGGGAGTAAGAAGTAATAGGAGAAAAGGCACAGGGGCAAGAGAACATGAGGCATGCACAGACAATGATAAATATTATTCCATTTGGGCTGGAGCATAGTCCAAGTGAAGAGGGGCACTGCAATATGGGAAATGGAGAGGAAGGTGGCACCATATTTGGGAGGATATTAAGCTGCAGCTTCAGGCTTCTCCATCTCCACTTCCTTTCTGATTCCATCTTATTCCATCGGTTTCAGTGAACGCCTCTATGCAGATAACTCCTAATTCCACGTATCCTGTCCTAGTCCATTTATAGAGAGATGCTTCCAATAGATTGCTTTTGTCTTGTCATCACTTCAAACGTATGTTCAAAATTGAACTCATCACCCTCCAATCCAAAACCTGTTCCTCCTTCTTCTTAACTTCTGTTTCATTTCATGGCACTGTCATCTTCTCCATCACCCAAACTCACAGACAGACACAAGTTTTCTTTTACTCTTCCCTCCTGCTCATCACCCCCAAAATCTGTTCCTTGCTAAATACTCACTAGTCTGACTCCCAAGATATTTTGGACATCCATACTGGAGCTGCCCTAGTTGAAGTTCCCTTCTCATCTCAACCTAGACTAGTTATAATTGCCTCTTAATTTCTCTTTCTGCTTCCAGCCTATTCAGTCTCCAAACTGTTTTCCATATTGCTCTTAGACTAATCTTCCAAGCATTGTAGCTACAATCATATTGCAACCCTAATTAAAAAAACAAAAAGAAAATGACTAGTCACCCATTACCTGGTTCTGGCATTTAAGACCTTCACAATCTGGCATCAATTTGCCATTTTAATCTTATAATAGTACTGATGCTGCACCTATTTCTGTTGAAATCACCGCTTTCAGTAAAGTCCCACTAAAGAGCTACCTCCTCCAGGAAGCCTTCACTTCCTATTCCCCTCAAGTGAAAATGGTCTCTCCTTCCTCAGATTTTTCTTAAAATTTTTTCTGGACCTATAATTTTCATTTATCTTACTCTACTGTGTTTGGTTTTATCTTTGTCCATGCCTCTTGTCCCCTTGTAAAATTATAAGTGCTTTATAAGAGTATAAGAGTAAGGTCCATGTTGTTGTGTGTGCTTTTATATCTGTAGCACCTAATATAAAGCCTTGTACACAGCAGGAATTTAGTAAATATTTGTTAAAACTGTGAATTTCTTTGAGGAAACAATAGAGAGTCATTGGTGGTTTTATTAGGAAAATAACTTGGGAAGCTTTGTACATAAGAAATATTAATATGGAAGGAGTATGAATGATGTGTTGTAGGGGAGAAGAAAGTTGAATCTATTGAAATATTATAGGCGATGGTAATAAGTTTCTATTGGTGTGATGGCAGGGGACAGAGAGAGGAGGACAAGCAGTATTAGAGAGGTAGGTCCAATTGTATTCAACAAATGATGAAGTTTATGTTAGAGTGGGAGAGGAAAATGTGAATGAACCTGGGTAAATACATGGATTTGATTCTGAGCTGTTTTATTTCACTTTTCCCTGTCTGTACTCTTAACATCAGCCAGTCATCCTATGACAGTGCTTTTGCTTCTGGGTAAATAGCAGAGTGTGAATAATTCAGTACAGATCTTTCTCCATTACTGGAAAAAATAACTCAATACACATGTCTTACTGATGGTGGGTCAGTACCATTTTTATGTAAAACTCTGCCAGTTAATACAGGTTTGGGAAGTTGCTAATACATTTTTACAAAGGTTTTTAATATCACGGTTTTATTATAAAAGTTTTGGTTGCTTCTAAATGACATCTCAAATTCAGAAATATTTTTCTTCACCATCTTTTCTTTCTTTCTAATCCCCTCTTTAGATTGCCATGGATGTGGCAGCCTGCAAACCCCTTGCCAACATCATAGATACTGCTGTAGAAATATTTCTGTGTAGCTATATAACTAACTCTGTGGTAAGTGATGTTTGTCTTTGAAAATAATGACTCAACCATTTTCTAAATATTAGTTTTTCATTGGTATTGTTCTATTCCCATGTAAATATTTATATGGTTTTGTTGTTATTCAGTCATTTTTCAATCATGTCTGATTCTTCCTGACCCCAGCTGGGGTTTTCTTGGCAAAGATACTAGAGTGGCTTGCCGCTTCCTTCTCCATCTCATTTTACAGATCAGGAATTGAGGCAAAGAATGGACTTGTCCAGGGTCACACAGCTAGGAAGTGTCTGAGGCCAGATTTGAACTCAGGAAGGTGAGTTTTCCTGACTCCAGGTCAGGCACTCTGTGCACTATGGTGCCACCTAGCTGTGTATGTAACAGTACGCAATGGGATGATATATGTAAAGTGCTTCATATTTAAAACAAATATTTCCTCAGAAATGCATTCAAGATTCTGGATCGCTTTGTTAGAGCAAACTCCCCTGTATCCAGAGTGATTGGGTAATTAAATTAATTGTATCCTAGTTAGGAGGATGGACTTCAAGACAGAAGGCCTAGATTCTAGTTAGACTAAATATATCATAAGATTCCTTTTAGGTCTAACTTTCTGTGATTCTAAGCTCCAGATATGCCTAAACATGTAACTTTAGAAAGTCACTTATACTACCCTGGGCCTCAGTTTCCTCACGTATAAAATGTGGATAACATCTGCTTTACCTACTACTGAGGACTGTTAGGATCAAAGCAACTAATGTATGTGAAGCACTTGCAAGTATAAAAAAAAAAAGTTGCATAAATGCAAGCTATTATCATTAACTAGACATTATAATCAAAACATGGATACATAGTTCATGCTCTTGGCCAATTATTTTACTCAAAGAATCAGAATAATGTAAAATGTAATTGGTGTTAAAATTATGCTAACTCTACCTTAATCTTTGATTCAGGACTTTCTAGTGCCTTGGGCCAATTACCATTAGCCTTCCCCCTCTTGTGTTTCAGTTAATGTATCAGGAAGCAAATATCAAAAAATGCTCAGTTTTGTCCTGTCCTCATCAACATTTTAGTCAATGACTTGGGGGTCTGGAGTCAGGTGACCTGGGTTTAAATCCCACTTCTGATGATTTTACTACTTAAGTTATGTTACAATGGACAAGACATAAAACCTCCTTAGGCCTCAGTTTCCTCCTCTGTAAAATAAGGTGATTGGACTCTGAGGTCCCAGACCATAGGACCAGTCTGTGGGCCTTTGAAGACAAAGGGGAAATGTTTGTCAGAGATGTGGGTGACACAAAGCTGAGAGGTAGCTAAGATGCTATATGTCAATTGTTATGCAAAATGTTTATGTCACCATGGTCTGGATCTAATAAGATGCAGTGGAATGAAAATAAGTGTCAGGCATAGAAACCCCAACTCTACAGGATGGGAAACTTCTGATGTCTTGTGAAAAGACTTGAGAGTTTCAGTTGGCTGTAATCCCCATTGTGAATTGACAGTGTGAGATGGCCGCCAAAGAAAGCTCATGCCATCTTAGGCTGTGTTCTTCAATGAATGGTGCCCAGAAAAGAGAAGATAGTGGGCCCAGTGTCCCCTGCCCTGGTCAGACCACATCTGGACACTTGTTTTTAATTCTGGGCTCATGATTTTAAGAACATTGATAAACTACAGCACGTGGAGAAGTGACCAGAATATTATGGGGAATGGAAACCAGCACTTGAGGAACCTGTAAAGAAATTGGGTGTGTGCAACCTGAAGAAGAGAAACTTTGAGACTTGGAATTTAGGTGGGGGAGGGGAGAAGACCAATATATGAGGAAGAGGGATTAGTTCCAGAGAGTCCCCAAACTGAGACTTATGAGTAGAAGTTACAAGGAGAAATATTTCTGTTCAAGAAAAACTTTCTAATAGTTAAAGCTGCCAACAACAATATGAACTTTTTGGTGAGGTGGTGAGTGGAAACATGCAGGCATTGATTGGATAGCCACCTGTCAAAGGCAAGAGCACAGAGTCTGACTTGGGATAGGAGGTTAGGCCTGGATGGTCTGTAAAGTTCTTTCCGAATCTAAGATTTTGGTTTTAGTAAGGTCATATTTATATAACACTTCTAGGTTTATCAATTACTTTCCCCGCAGAATTTTCAGGTAGATAGTGTAAATGTCATGCAAGTTTTATGGTAAGTCAACAAGCATTTAAGCATTTAGTTTCTGCCAGGTTCTATTTTGGGGATACAAGAAAAAGAGGGGGAAACCACAGTCCTTGCTCTTAAGGAGCATGATTGTAATAGGGGAGACAATGTGTAGATAACTCAGTGCATCTGATAGACATAACTTCTTAATAACGAGGCACACAGAAGGTATATACATAGGATAGTAAGGTAATTTAAAAGGAGAAGGCATTGAAGCTGAGAAGACTAGGAAAAGGTTTCCTGAAGAAGGTGGGATTTGAACAGAGGCTTGGAGCATGTCAGGGAAACTCTGAAGTGGAGAATCAGGCATGGGGGAAGGGACAGCTAGTACAAAGGCTTAGAGGTGGGAGTCGTAACTTCGTGTTCAAGGAAATGAAATTGTATAATGAATCTTAAGAGTTCATGAAAGGGAGTGAGACAGAAGAAGGTTGGAAAGGTAGAAAGGGATCAGGTTATGAAAAGCTTACAAGGACCAAAGAGGATTTTCTTTTTCATCTTGGAGGGTAAAGGAACCATTTTATGGGGATGATGTGCTCTGATCTAGACCTCAGAAAAATCAGATTTGACAGTTGAGTGGAGTATTGATTGGAGTAGGGAGCAACCCGAGGCAGGGAAACCAGGCAGAAAGCTATTTCAGTAGTCCAAGCAAACAATGATGAGAACCTGTGGCTTTATAAGTGGAGAGGAAAGATATTGCAAAGGTAGAAATGATAAGATTTAGCAACAAATTAGATAGCTGGAGAAACTGAGGCTGATAGAGGTTAACTAACACACAAAGTAGTAAGTATGAGAATCAGAAAGAAAACTAAGTACAATCAAGTACTTTTCTCCCATTATAAGCCTGCTTCCCTTTGGCCCAGGCAACTGCCAAAATGAATTCTTCATGTGAATGATTAAATAAAACCCTATAAAAACCCTGTTTTATATTTGTTGGGGCTTTCAGAGAATACACACACATAAAGTCTCATAGATGAATAATTCAGTGCTGTGTGAATTTATAAGAGAAGGTAGTCATTTGATTTAATTCAGTAAGTACTTATTAAGCTGCTACTATGTACCGATTATATCACTAAGAGAAAGAAAGGCCAGTAAGACAGGTTTCCTGCCTGAAAGGTCCTTAAGGTTTAGTAGGTGAGATAAGGCATCTACATATTTAACTATTATGTGCTTACTATGTTTTAGATTGTTTTAGAGAACCACAAGCTGCTATTCAAAGTCTTAGAAAAGAAATAGAATTTCTAACTATTGGGAGGAGGTGGGAATCACAAAGGTCTTCATGGATTAGGTAGCATTTTTTAGCCAAATATTAAAGAATGAGTAGGAATTCAACAGGTAGAAATTTTGGGGGGAGGTGAAGAAAAGAGTCTGCACCGATTCTAGAGAATAACTCGTGCCTTGAGAAAGTGCCAAATGTCTTCGGAATACAGCAATTAAGTCTAGTTTTTCTGATGTGTAGAGTTTTTAGGGGTCGTGGTGTAGATTAAATATGATTGTGATCAACATTTAAGTGTCTACTGTTTGCAGAGCATTGTCCTAGGTTGAAAGGGGTTAATTTAATTTAAATAAGACACCATTTATTCCCTCATGGAGCATGTAGTCAAAGAGAGGGGATGTGGCACATACACAAATAACTTTTCTAGAAAGTAACACAGAATTAATGCACTAGAAAGTTCATTAATTAAATGTCAGAGCTGCGAGAGGAGGGATAAGTCATTATTAATCGGAGGGATCACGGAAGTCTTCTCTTCCTGGAAAAGGTAGCATTTGAATTGGGCTTTAGAAGATGGATAGAAATTCAGTTAGGTAGTGCAGTGGATTGCGTACTGGGCCTAGAGTCAGGAAGACTCCTTTTCCTCAGTTCAAATTTGGCCTCAGACATTTACTAGCTTTGTGACCCTAGACAAGTCACTTAACCCTATTTGCCTCAGTTCGTCGTCTGTAAATGAGCTGGAGAAGGAAATGGCAAACCACTCCAGTGTCTTTACCAAGAAAATTCCATATGGAGTCACGAAGAGTCAGACATGATTGAAAAGCAACTGAACAAAAAAGGAATTTGGGGGTGGGGAGTAAGAAGTTAAGAGCAAGACTCAAGAAAGTAATGGGAATGTATAGAGGTTGGTGGGAAGATGGCGTGTCCTCTTGATGTGTTTAAAGGTGGGGTATATCATAATTGTTCACTTTCTTAATGGCGTGGAAGGCCCCAGCAGAGTCTTGTGTAACTTGCTTGTATAGTATACTTGTGTAACTATTGTGCCAAGCTCCTGTGCCCTATGTAAGGGAACACTGTGTTTTTACTTCCTTGGATGTGTTTGTCCAGCGACTGAAATGTAAAGGGATGCTTCAGTGATATAAGGAGCAAATGTACTCTTTAGAACAGAATCATTCCCTACAGAGAGTATGACTTCAGACTTCTCCTATCCTCCCACCACCACAACATTCATTCAGGGGCCGCTGCTCATTTTGGCATGCTTATCAAGACACTGGACAATAGCTTCTTTGCTGGCCTCTTCCAGCACTATCCCAAGGGTTAGATGCATGTGATTTCTCAGTTAGAACTCTTAGCAAAAATGCAGAGAAACTCTGGACAGTATGTTTTTGACATATAATTTAGGATTTTAATAGTCGGCATTTTCATGGTTTATGGCTTACAAAGCACATTACTTATATTATCAGATTTTATCTTCACAATGGTCTTGGAAAGTAGATTCTGTTCTTAGCCTCATTTTGTAGATGAGAAAACTTTGAGGTTCCTTCCTGCACTGAGAAGAGAGTAAGTGACTTGCCGTGGTAATACCACTGGTCATTCATAGAGGCAATATTGACCCAGCTTTCTCCTGATCCCAGGTCCAACACTTTTTCCAGTAGCACATGCAGCTTTGTAGAATTCTAAGAGATAGAAGGGTCCTTAGAGATCATTTAGTCCAGAGACTCTTAATCCTTTTTTCATCATAAATTCTTTTGGCAATCTGAAGCCTATGGGGGACCCACTTACTAGAATAATTTCATAAAAATTCATAATTGGAGAAAATGCTAAATTTCAGTAGGAAGTTAGTGAAAATAATTTCTTTTTCCCACCCATGATCATGGACCTCCTGAAATTTATCCATGGAATTTTGTGGAATCTGTATACTCCAACTTAAGAATCCCTCATTTAAAACCAAAAAGAAGTGTTTCTATGTTCTATTGAAGGCAAAAGAGCTTCGAGAGACACAGCAGACTTGTGCTTTATGAATATCATTTTGGCAACTGTATGAAGGACAGAATAAAGGAGGGTTATGAACACTTCATCTAGTCCAATTCCTTCTTTTACAGATTCATACACTGAGCCCCAGAGAAGGGCACAGACTTGTCCAAGATTACCTAAGTATTAAGTAACAAAGTCCGGATTTGAACCCAGGACCTTTGATAACAATCCAGTGTTCTATCATTACTCTCTTCAAATGGTACATATCTTAAAGTTTGCCTTTTGTTGTCTTCTAGAACGCATTCTGGTTCGGCTTGGGAGGTGCCACGATATTTTTAGTTCCTGCTATAATTTTTGCTGTAAAGCTATCCAAATATTATCGTCGAATGGATTCAGAAGATGTCTATGATGAGTAAGTATGAAGACTTTAAAGAAGAAAGAAGGGGCTGTCATTAAAATGGAGATTTCCCAAAGCTTCCCTATCACCCCCACCCAAGTAACTTCAATTAGAGATTCTACTTCTCCCACTTTGTCGTAGAAACAGAGAAGAAATACTTTGTGTGGAGCTAGGGTTTGTTCTTGTTATCAGTTACCTCCCCTCCATGAAATGTTAACAGTCCCACTAAATACTCCTTTGCTCTTGGGGTCCTCGCTTCAATTATTTTCTCTTTAATTTCCTTGCTTCCTTTAACCGATCTTCTATTTCTTATTTACAGTTCTTCTGTCTCAGGGACTTGGCATTTCACTTTATGATAACTGTTTTTACTAGTTTTCATTTAGCCATATGTGGTTTTTATTTTCCTCACTATCCTGTGACCTTATATACTGTGTTTGTTTATTTGGTTTTTTTTTTTTAATTTCATCCGTTGTGATCCTTGGCCTGTTTCTCCCCAAGTTTGCACATCCTTTTGGCACATCCATTCTACTATAGTGGAAAGGCAATTTGGGAAAGTAACTGTTATATCCATGAATATTTTTTTAAAAAATAATTGTGTTTCCCTTTTTGTTTTGTATCTTTTAGTGTTGAAACTTTACCCATGAAAAAGTAAGACTTTTTTTTAACAGTATTTATTCAAATCTTTTCATAAAGTGGGTGTAGGGGATTTATGTTACTCCATGCTGGACTTTCGACTAATAAGAAACAGGTCTATGACAAAACAGGTCCAGATGAAACTAAAGTTAATGTAAAGGCTCTTAAAAACAGATTTATGTGCATCTATATAACCTCTATATATTTAATGTACAAAAGTAGTTGTTTAGAGTGTTTGGTGGCAGTTTCTGAAGGATACAGAATTTGAGTTTCAGACCTTTTTACTTGCTCCATCAACATTAGCTTGTTTTTATGTATTCTCCACTGTCATTTACATTGTCTCTGTAATCCATGTTGTCATTTCTTCATCTCAGCAATAACATAAGTCTTTTTTTGGTATATTTATTTTTGTTACAGTATGGAAAATGGTAATTATGGTTATCATAAAGATCATTTATATGGTCTTCACAATCCTGTTATGACAAGGTAACACAGAAACCTGAAACTGCATGCCTTATAGTCCTGGCTCTTTGCGTGCTATATTAATCCTTTAATTGCATTTTCTGCATGCATTAAAAAAAACCACTTCTTTTATTTTTGCTTTTTTTTTTCTTTTTTGCATGACAAGTATTGTTGTATGTGGTTGGTCTTTTAAATCATGCCCTACGTTGTGTTAGATTTAGTAATGCTTTCAAGTATTTTGATGCATTTAAAAAAAAACAAACAACAACAACCTGGATAATTGTGTAAGATGTCACTGAATGACGTCATCTTAAAATTGCCGAGTAGAGCCGGTGAAAGGCCAATGATGATTAAGTGCATGCACATGTATTATTTAATCTGACTTCTCTTAGCCTGCGGTCACTGAATCACATTGTACTAATAAGGCTTACTGAGTTTATATAGCAGACCTTGGGGAATTTGTTTTGTGCTGCTTTGTCATGGAGATAGGCAGATAATGGAAAACATACTCAACGAGAGACTTCTGAAAGAAACATCTTTCAAATGTGTAATCTCGACTTTTCTCTAATGTTGAACATGTGTAAGCAAACATTCATGAGCAGTGGGCTAGAAAAACATTGGAACTCCTTAACTTTTACCTGGATGTTTGGGACTTAATAGTAGTAGCAATAATGATTAGCAACAGAGGGAGACTGTCATTCATGATGGCACAGAATGCATGCTTCATTCTTTTGCTTAATAAGCTATGTTGAAATGCAGCACATGCCTGATAATGATGTTGATGTTACTTGGGTAAGAAGATAGAGTAATTAGTCTCATTATACCAAAATTAAGAATAAGAAAAATCACTTTATTTTTTAAAGATGCAAATTATGTGGTCTTTTACAGCGTCAATTTTAGGGAACTCTTGCGCCCATTTTGGAAACTAGTGTTGGTGAAAGTAACATAATTATTTAATGCAAGAGTTCATTGATGTCTGTGAGACTTGAGAATTGATCTACAGTGAATACTGGTTCTCTCTCACCTTTCTGAATTCCATATCATCTGACCTCCCCAAACTGAAAGACAGCTTTCAAACTTTATTGTTATATACATTGTCCAGAGACGTAGAGGAAGACCCACATGTTATTCGGACCCCTTGTGGTAGATTTAGGAGAGGACATGGATTGGAATCTCGCAGAATGGACAGGCAAGGACAAATTATAATCTGCATCATCAGAAGGGAGTAGCCACCTCAGTGAGGTCACAGATTGATTCATTGAAAGAAATATAGGCATATCTGTTCTGTGCCATAGTGGTGACAATCTCTCCAAGTTTTCTTATCATAGAAAACAGCATTGTGCTCTGTACTGTCTGTTCTTGAATAGTCTTGAAGAAATTTTTTATGACAAAAAAAAAATCAAGGTTTTTTTTTCACCCTAATAGCAAGTCCCAACCATAAAAATTCAAGTCATTTCTTCACTCTCCTCTAGCACTGATCAAGTAGTGAAATCCATTGAGGTTTGGAGTCATTAAAATACATTTTACTTTCTGGCCATGATGATACTTAGAAAATGAGATCCCATTCATCATATGGGCACTCTTACTTTGCCAGTTGGGTTCTTCATCCATATAGAACCTTATTCATATGAAGGAAACAATCTGAAGATGAGTGGCTCTGGTCCCCCTCATAGGCGACTTCTTCTAAGACAGCAGTTCTTAATTATTTTTGTTCATAGATCCTTATGGCATGCTGTTGAAGCCTTTTTGAGAAAAATGTTTCCAAATAATTGAAGGGAATGCTAAATTTCACTCAGAAATTGGCTAAAATAAAGATGTGATTATTTTTCCATTCAAGTTCACAGACCTCTTGAAAACTATCCACAGAGCCTTTGGGAAGTCTGTGTACTCTAGATTTCTGTTCTAAGAAGAATAGGATGCATGGCAGGAATGCATTTTACAAAATGAGCCTAAATACCTGCTTTTAGACATTTGTTCCTCTGAGATTTTTCTGATTCCTGTGAATTTAAGATAGAGGCATTTTTCAGTGATGGATCTGTAGGAAAACATTTGGTAACAGAGTGTTCAAGGTGGAGAGAAAAAACTTGACTACTTTAAAGAAAAATATTCTCAAAGGAAGCAGCTTATGCTTACCAAGTCACGTTAAATTTGACAGAAATACTAGCATGTGGAGTTCTGGAAACTTGTGTTGAATTTCTACCATTGAGTTAGTGGTATGTCTTGCTGGCTCTGAATGGAATCTTCAGTTTTATGGACCATAGTGGACTCTTGAAGGATACAGGGAGTTGGATTTTTCACCTCTCTTGAATACATAGTTTCTCAGTAACTTTAATTTGTCCTTGGTGAGGAACTGAATGTATGCAACAGAGTAAATCAAACACATGGTGGGATACAAGGTGGTATCTTATTTCACAAAAGGAAAACCACATCCATGCTGCCTTATGCAAATGTGAAGAAAGGTGGTATAGTGAATAGAAAACTAGTCTTGGAGTCAGGAAATTTCAGTTTGAGTCCCACATCTAACTCTTACAAGCTCTGTGACCCTAGACAAGTCACTTAATCTTACTGTTGATTTCCTTGTCTGCAAAACCTACCCCCAAGTCTTTTGTGAGGGTCATATGAGATATTGTATCCAAGTTAATATGAACCATAATAGTGAGAAGTATAATATAAGTGGGAACTATTCTTATTTTTCTTAGTATTAAATTTTGTTTATATTTCTCTGGACTCATTTGCTCACTTTTCCTAAAGTTATTGTAAGAAGTTGGGGATAGTGCTCCTTGTTCATACTGACTTGAAGCAGAACGAGAAAATGGGTCTGCAGAACCCTACTCATATTTGAATGGGAGGCTTTCTTTCCCCAAATGAAAGAGGATGTTGCTTCTACCTGAACCATAGAGCTTTGAGCAAAGCAACAATTTTGGGCTATTTCCTTTAAGAAGGAACAGTCCAAAATTGAGGGGAAAAGGAAGCAACATGTAACGGTCAGCACTTGCTATGTGTCAGATACTGCGCTTTATAAATGTTACTTTTGATCTGCACAACAATCCTGGGGCATGGGGACTGTTATTATTCCCATTTTGTAGTTGAGGAAACTGAACCAGAAGAGGTTAAGTAACCTTAAGGGTCACACAGCTAGTAAGTATCTGGGGTCAGATTTAAATTCACATCTTCCGGACTCCAGTCCCAGCACTCTTATCAGCTGCACCATTTTGCCATCTGGTCAGCTGAGCTGGGAAAGACACTTCGGTCAATGAAGGCTGATTTACAGGTTGACGAAGAGTTCTTGACCACAGGTTTCTTATTTGCTTCCCCATGCTCCCCTGGGATTGAAGTTTTGTAGGTTTTCTGAAGGCTCTATTGTTACCCATTAATTCTGGGGTTCATAAATAGGCAGTAATACAAAGAATTTGTTGGAGTACAAGAATGACAAAATAAGGAATCTGGTGAGAAAGTAAGGAAATATATACACACATGCACATACATACAAACATGCATATAATGTATATATAAACTGGAGGCTTAAGACAATGAGTGAATAGGAAAAGCAGATTTGGGAGACATTTAATAAATTGCATTTCAGGTATCGTTTCCTCATTATCAATGACTGGAAAAGGAGGACTCTTTTCGCAGTGTTTTTGAGCTGAGTAGTGCATTAGTGGGACAGATTTTCTTTAGACAAACATAATTAGCAAGTAATTCATATTACTGTGCCCTTAATCAGTAGCATGACTATAAAGCTGTAAAGGACAAATTAAGCAGTTGTTTGATTTCAAGCACAGAGGGTTTTATTTATAATAAAGCCTATAATAAAATGCAGTGTCTTCAATCTTCCATAGAGATGGGGAAGAAAAAGCAGCAATCTTGTTGGGGAGCAAATCCTTCCTGACTTCCCTATTCTTATTAGTTTTGCTACTTTACGTTTTTCCTACATGTACTCTGGAGGGAAGGTTAATTTTTCCGAACCTTGATAGTATTTTTATTACATTGATTTTTTTTTTTAAAAGAAAATTTCCTGGTAGCTTTTCCTGTGTACTTTCTTTGAAACACCAGGAAAGGATGCTAGAAACATTTAGCTCATTAGTTCCTAACATTTTTTGTTCCATAAACCCCTTTCAACAATGTGTTGAATTGCCCCAGGGCAATTCAATATCCTATTCATAATATTCCTATAAATTTATTAGTATCTAGTGATAACTTTTGTCCCCAAAAGCTTCATGTTAAAATTTACATTACATAATCGTAATAATAAGATATGTAAAAGATGCAGATGCTTGTTGTCACAAAGAAAAGATGGACTGATAATATTGCTCCAGTCTTTTGGATCATCATCAAAAGCCTCCAAGGGGTTTGCAGACCACTGCATGGGAACCACTGATTTAAATGACACTGTTTTACTTCTGTGAATTTCTTCTAAGGATGCCATTAGGACTTAAACATTTTGGTTTTGTTTTGTTTTTGGTTTTGGTTTTTTTTTTTGGTTTTTTTTTTTTTTTGGTAAGGCAGTAGGGGTTAAGTGACTTGCCCAAGGTCACACAGCTAGTATGTGTCAAGTGTTTGGTCTGAGGCCAGATTTGAACTCAGGTCCTCCTGACTTCAGGGTCGGTGCTCTATCCACTGCGCCACCTAGCTGCCCCCGGAATTAAACATTTTGGAAGCTTTGCTTTGCCACTGATGTTTATGAAGTCAATTTATCCTAGAAGGCTTTAGGTCTTCTCTCCCTCATTACCACAGTTGTATCTTTCCAAGAATGTTGCATCTTTCTTTTCTTTTATAGAGCCATGGAACAGTGGTAGAGGACATTGGAATTGGATGAGGTAAGCTAGAAGTTTCTACATGAAATAATTTGGGACTTGAGCAGAATCAATTTTGACTTTCAAGAACTTGGCCATATACAGTGAATTTTGATAGAAATTTTAGCCCTTAAATCAACCAACCTGTTAAACATCATATATGTCCAGGGCTAGTTGAAATCATTGTGACATAGTGGATCAAGAGCTGGCCTTGGAACCTAGAATGCTTGAGTTTAAATCCTGCCTTTGTTAAGCACTAACTGTGTGACCTTGGGCTAGTTCTTTGGGGTCTCAGTGCTTCAGGCCAGCAGTGTCAAACATGCCTGCGACCCACAACATTTCTGAGTGTGTCTCTAGCCCCAGTCAGATTAAACTGTAATCAGGAAATAATTCCCAAAATTAGTAAAAATGCAATAAAAAGTATATGATACTGCATTTTAAAACCAAGTCAATATGTGACCTGCAAAGATCTTTATGTGCTATTTAATGGGCCCAAATTCTATTTGAGTTTGATAATATTACTCTAGGCAACCCTCTAAGAGTATAAGTTGCCGAGAAGATGCCAACTTACATGGATCCTCAACTGAGAGTTCCTTGTACCAATAAAATCACAGGATAAGGTCCTCTCCCTACATCGCCTGCACTGGGGCTTTGTACCATATCAGTGAAATTTAGAGGGCATAAAAATTGAATAAATATATTCAGCAGTGTAGACGAGCCTCTTGGCTCGTCTTAATTATTTTTGTATTATTTCCATGTCATGAATTACAAAGGTGATTTGAGAGCATGCTTTATGCTGTTTGCCCCAGGTACCATAACTACTAGTTACAGTCTATTATATATTCATGTCAGGGGTTTATTTAGGATTCTGAATTACTGTTTTTTTTGCATTGATCCTATTTTCATAACTTTAAATGTTTCTTAAGTTATTTTATGAACCTTAATTTCCAGCCTCAAGATGCTTACACAGAAGAGAACACAAAATTCTACCTATATTCTGATCTACAAGCACCTTTCAAATCCAGTATGGTTTTTGGTGGCTTACTGGTAACACAGCTTTAAATCAAGGAACTATATGATGTAACATGGGGTGCTATGATATGAGCTAATGGATGGTGAATTTCCTGACTAGAGCTCTATCACCAGCACATTTCTCTGTTTGACCACTGTTCAAGGCTAATGCCACTGAATTTTAAATGTTGTGGGGGGTGGGGGAAGATGTTAGTTTTTGGTTTTTACTTTTTTACACTGGGTTTCTATCTCAAAACCACCCATACTTGTATATTGGCTCTGTTTAATGCTATTTTTCAGGGAACAATTGCTCATGTGTAATTGTTCCATTTTCTTACATGGGAAATGCATTAAACTGACAACGTTTACATTTAAAATACATTTTATATGCAGTAATTTTGTATCTATACCTTTTGTTACCACAGTCTTATGAGTGTTTAAAAAAATCTTAGTATTGAGTAATTTACTTTCAAAATGAACATAAACCAGCATGATTGGTGTTGATTGTTGGTGCTGTTAAAGAATCTGTTTTTTTACTAAAGTATGTTGAATTCTACAGTATGTCCTTTTGGGCCCACATGCCACCTACAGGGTATTTCTTCTACTTTTTAAGTGATCCGTTAAGATTATTTTGAAAAAAATATACAGCAGACAAGTCTGAGAATCAGATTTATTCTTCATAGTAATTTGGGGGAAAAAAGCAAAGATATATAGGGTACTTGATTTTTTCAAGTCATTGGAAACTGGAATGGTTTTTAATATGTGTCAACTCTAGGGGAATTTAAATTCATTTTTCTGATCTGGGAGAAGAAAGACTGAAGCTATGTCTCTTGGAGGTGACACTTCAAGTGGAATTGAGATATTCAGGATTATTTGACCACAAAAAATAATTTGTATGGTTTTTCAAATGACTCAACTATTGAAATGAGACTATGTGGAAAATGGTCACAGTTTTCAGATAGACACCATGCCAGAAGAGTACTATTTGCCACAACCCCTGTTTTTCTGTTTCTGTGATAAATAATTCTTTGGGATGAGATCCTAAAAATTATGTGAAAGCACATAATAATTGCTGTGAATTTTTTCTGATAGATCACTCATCAGGTCGGAAGAGACAGCATTTCAGATAGACAAAATGTAGCACATGTATAAAGTTATTCAAAATGTCAGGGTTTTTTTTAAATTGTATTTTTCACTTAAAAAATTATGTCCCCAACTCATTTCAATAAAAATAACATGGCCTACTTGGTTTATGGATGGCATTATTTTCATTCATGGGGGGAGGAGGAGGGAAGGAAGTGGCTGGAGGATACCAAGCTTTACATGTGAAAATTTAGGTTTGTTTCAATATGTCATGCATTTATTAAGTGCCTAATATGTTCCTGATACTGAGAATGCAGAAAAATACCTTCAAGGCATACATTTCACTAGGGGAAAACAATATATACATATAAGCAAATATAAAATATTAATAAATAGTTTCTTCAAAGAATTAATAAGATAGTGCCTTTTTTATTATTTGATCCTAATAGTAAGACATCCAGTGATCTGTCCTTGGCCCTTTTCTGCTATTCAACATGATTACTAGTTCTTTAGGTGAAGATATGAATGACGTGCTCATCAGATTCGCAGATATCACGAAGTTGGGAGGGATGCTAAGTTGGGTGGTGGGATCCAAAAATATCTCAACAGGCCAAGACAGTGGACTGAATCTTAATGACATGAATTGAATACCATTGAATAGAAAATCTTACACTTGGGTTAAAAAAGCCAACTGTAAAGTCCAAGATAAAAGATATCAATAGACAGTACTTCATGTGAAAAAAAAAAAAACTAGAAACTTCAGCGGAATACAAGCTCAATATCAGGCAGCACACATCAATTAAACATCAGTTGAACACCTTCTCTATGCCAGGCACAGTGCTAGGCACTAGAGATACAAATAAATGATTGAAATAATCTACCTGCAAGGTACCAACAGTCTGACCGCAGCTAAAAAAAAAAGTAATGTAGTGTTAGACTACATGTATAATTTTTTCACTTTTTTGCAACATGACTAAAATGGAAATATATGTTGCATGATTTTACATGTATAATTGATAGCATATTGCTTGCTTTCCCAATGGATGGAGAGACTGAGGGAGAAAGAATTTGGAACTCAACATTTTTTTTTTAAAAAACACAGCATGGTGTTTTTACCTTGCCTTGGTCATAGTCTATCTTGGTCATATTTTTGTGCTCTATTCTGGGCAGCGCATTTCAGGTAGGGCTTTGATAAGCTGTAGTGTCTGAAAGACCAGAAAAGTTGAAAAAACTGACCAGAGATTTCTACCATATAAGAATTGGATGAAGAAATTTAGTGGTAACCTAGCCCAAGAATAAAATAGGTAGGGGCTGGGGGGCACCTAATTGCTGTCTTGCGGGATTTGAAGAGCTGTCGTGTAAAAATGAGATTAGATTTTCTTTGCTTGTCCCCCAGACAAAATTTAAGAGTAATAAGTGAAAGTGAGAAGGACAAATTTTCCCCTGACATAAGGAAAACTTCCAATTAAAGATATTCCAAAATGGAATGGACTCAAAGAGGAGACTGATAAAAATGCTCGAGAAATTAAGGAGACATATATGGTAAAGAAGTAGGTCCATATGGTTCAGACCATAGGTGTTTGAAAAAAGCCACCACATTTATAATTTGCTTAAGCAGGCCTCCCTCTTTTCATCCAAATAAAATGTTATATTCCCTGTTCATTCACAAGGTTCCTTTATTTCTCCCTTCTATCATTGCCAAACCACATAAATTAGCATAGATTCACAGGCTTGGAGTTGAAAACAAATCATACGTATTCCAAACCAGGTTCTCTAACTATATATTTTTTAAATTGTAAACCAATTTATTCAAGTCAAGCTGCTTGACTTGAAAATTTTTTAGGGTCAGGTTCTTTATTATAGTAATTTATCCCTGCTGAAAGACCAAGATTATACATAATAGCTGTTTGTGCTAGCAGTTTATAACCTCGTAGTTAAAAATATCTAATTCATATCCTAATTTGAAATGTATAATCATTCAGGTGGATTCAATCTTTGGATAATTTGTTTGGTGGTAGAGGAGAAACAAAATCAGGTATTCATTGCTTGCTGAATCAAGTAGCAGAACCATGTGTGTTATTTGTGGATGGAACTGATAATGGCCTAAGGTGACAAATGTTTTTTTAATTTCACAATGGATCTACAACACAATGATTTTGAATTTGAGAAACAAGAATTGGAAGTTGGAGACACAAGTATTGACCCAGAGGTTGATAGTGATATATCAATTCATCCAAAGCCTTTGTTTTCAAATATATACTACAAGACAAAGGAAGGCTGCATTTTAATCTCCTGTATCAGCTCATCTTAAGATACTTCTGGTGTGATTTCTCAATTTTTTTAAAATATGGGGTATCTCTCACCCAGCCTATAAGAGCAACAAATACTCATGGGCCAAACCCCACTGCTAACTGGCACAGAAACAGAAGCTTTGACCTGCTCCATTTCCCACCTGGGCTGTTTCACTCTTTAAACAGCCTTCTGGAGGCACCACCCCTAAGGGGTTCACCACATTAATTCCTGTCGGAGTGTGAGTGCCCAATTAGTCCTATTGCAGCCCAGAGCTCTTCTGCTCAAGCAATCTGCCAGCCTCGGCCTCTCCAATAGCAGGAATTATAGTTATGCACCACCATGCCTGGCTAATTTTTATTTTCAAAATAAAATCTGAAAATGTATGTGAGTGTTACCATCTGCACAATCTGGACAGTTCAAATGTATTGAGTGCATAATGTGTTCAGGTTTTCATGAAGCACATGGTATGAAGGAAAGCTGGATTTGGAGTCGGAATCTGGCCTCCAACCAAACATGTCATGTCACTGTTCCTTTCTGGGCCTCAGCTTCCTCCTTGTAAATAACAGAATAGTTCAATTAGTTGACCCCTAAGGTCCCTTTTAATTCTAATTCCCAGTATGCAGACTTCAGCATCAATGGCTCTCAAATGAGCCTAGCAAATAACTGCAAACTGCACACAACTGTGCGCTCTGGTTACCTGGAATCTGTACACATTCCCACTTTGCCAGTGTTCTCAGGTTGGTTGACGCCAAATTATGGTGGGGATTGAATGGAAGACAAAGGTCAACAATGATAGAATTGGCCAAAAATATGATGTTAAATGTTTAATTGTTTCAATTGTATCCAACTCTTCATGACCCCTTTTGGGGGGTTTCTTGGCAAAGATACTAGAGTGATCTACCATTTCCTTCTCCAGCTCATTTTACAGATAAGGAAACAGGCAAGTGGAGTTAAGTGACTTGCCCAGGGTCATGCAGCTAAAAAACATCTAACTCCAGGCCCAGCACTCTAGCCACTGTGCCGCCGAGCTATCCTGTGATAAGAAATAAATATCATTTGGGCAGAACATTATAAAACCTAGCAAAAATTAGGTTGTTTTAAGTGCTGACACAGAGTTCTATTACTGAGATATGCATTACGTGCTTATGCAGGATGCTGGGCTAGATGATGCTCAAAGTGAGTTGCATGGTGATGACCTTTTTCCCCTTTCATCAAAAACATCCATAAAGCAGGAATGAATAAAAGACCAACAAAATAGTCAAGTAATTGTTTTCAAGTAGAGTAGCTGTAGCCTTGGTGTACGGCTACTGGAAGAGGTAGTCACTGTCTAGGGCCATATCTGTGTAGCAAGCAGCAGAATGAGAGAGATCCCGACAGTAAGCTTCTAGCCTAACAGCATCATCTCATCTATGTCAGCATTACTCAAGAAAAAAAGGAAAGAAAAGGGCACACTGGTACAGTCAGTCCATAGCCTTGGACCCAAAGATATCAGTGGGAGGTGTAGATAAACAAAAAGGTCAAAGACAGACAGGATCATCTGATATGCACCAAAATATGTATAGCAGTACTTTTTGTGGTAGGAAAGAACTGGAAACCAACTAGATGTCGATCAGTTGATGAATGACGATACAAATGGTGGCATACTTGTGTGATAAAATATTACTACACAAAGAGAAAGAATGCAAAGAATGGAAAAACCTGAACTGAGGAGTGCCGTGAGCAGAACCAGGATATATGAGAATCTGGGTTTGTGTGTAGGGAGAGCAGGATAGATGGATACATATAGGTACAGTGTAGCTAGGTGGCGCCATAGTGCAGAGCACCAAGCCTGAGGCAGGAAGATTTATCCTGACTTCAAATCTGTCCTCAGACACTTAATAGCTGTGTGACCCTTGTCAAGTGACGTAACCCTGTTTGCCTCAGTTTCCTCATCCATAAAACAAGCTGGAGGAGGAAATGGCAAGCCACTCCAGTATCTCTGCCAAGAAAACCACCCCAAAGGGAGTCACGAAGAGTTGGACACAACTGAAAAATGATTGTATATGTCTATGTAATGCCTATAGTATTATAAATGGAAAACACAAAAAATTGAAACTAAATGTTATGTTATAATATAGACCATGCTTGGCCCTGGAGGAGAGTTGAAACAAGGCACCTCCCTTCCTCCCTTAGCAATGGCATGGTTCTATGGGTGTGGGAAATGGCATAAATTCAGATTTAGTTGATATGCTTATTTTAGTGACCTGCTCTTTCCCCTTTATTTTTTTTTTTTTCGTAGCAAGGGATAGCTCTCAGGTTAGAGGAAACGTTCAAATGATGTAAAATAAATTGATATCAGTATTAAAAAAAAAAAGACTTCATGGTCTAATATAGGGGTGGGGAACCTACGGCCTCAAGGCCACATGTGGCCCTCTAGGTCCTCAAGTGTGGCCCTTTGATTGAATCCAAACTTAACAGAACAAATCCCCTTAATAAAAGGATTTGTTCTGCAAAACCTGGACTCAGTAAAAAGGCAGGACCCGAGGACCTAGAAGGCCATACGTGGCCTCGAGACCATAGGTTCCCCACTCTTGGTCTAATACAAACCTAATATGAAAAGATGCTTTGCTAGAGCCCTTACTGAGCACAGCACATAGTTGGAGCACAACTGAATAGCTCTGTTCTCATCTTGTTTTGTTTTACTTTAGCTCTCTTATTCCTTTTGGATCATCCTTAATGTTTTCTCTAGATCTATTTTTTCTCCTGTCTAGTCATCACTTTAGACTGGACCTAACTGGTGCTGCCAGCCTCCTACTCCTATAATATTCATTCTTATGGCAACTCTCCTCTCCAGTTCTGACTCTTGGTATCATCGATTGATA